AGGATTGCAGGGTATACCCTTTGGTTGATTGATGATGCATGGAGGGTATTGTAATCATGGCAATGAGACGATATACATAGAATGAATGTAAAATTAATGTTCTCCCATGTAAACTATCACATAATTCACAATAAAACATTTAAAAAAGAAAAAAACAAAAACAAAAAAAACCTGAGAATTTGCTGGCAAAGGAAAAGTAAGAGATAAAAATAATACAAATAAAAAATGGAAGATGTGAAGTCATAACAGAACCAACTGAAGAATAAAGAATAATAACAATACTATGAGGAATAGAATTCTAAAAAATTAGAAAATATAGAAGAAATTTCTAGAAACACTAAAACCTGCCTTAACAAATACAAACTATGGTAGAAAATTTGAACACACCCATAACAGAAAAGAAATTGAACAGTTTGTTTAAAAAAACTCCCCACCTCTTCCAAAAAAAAATTCTAGCCCAGATGGCTTCACTGAAGAATTCTTTAAAGCATTCATTCATAAAACAACATACAGAAAATCTACTCAAAGTATTCCAGAATATAAAAAAAGAGGAAATATTACCGAACTCATTCAATGTAGTAAGCAGACCCCTAATACAAAAGCCAAGCAAAGATAGCACTAGAAAAGAAAATTACAGATCAATATCCCTCATGAACATACACCCCAAAATCTTCAACAAAATCCTAGCCAATAGTATTGTATCATATCAACAATATAATACACCATGACCAATTGGGATTTATATAATTTTATAAGGAATTTTCATCATTTGAAAACCAATCAACATTGTCCACTACATAAATAAGCTAAAAGAACAGAACCATATAACCACATTAAGTGATGCAAAAAAGCCATTTGGTAAATATCAACAATCATTTATGTTAAAAGCTCATCAAAATAAGAAAAAAAGGGAATATCCTCAACATTTCTAGGAGCATATATGCAAAACCAATAGTCATCATTCTTCTCAATGAAGAGACACTGAAATAATTTCCTTTGAGTGAACGAACAAGACAAGGATGTTGTCTATCACCACTTCTGTTCAACATTGTATTTTAAGTCCAAGCCAGCATATCAAGGCATCTAGGAGGAGGAGACCAATCATGCTCTGTACATGTAATGGTGGTATGTCCATTCAGAAGACGGTACCCACGGTTGCACTCAAGTTGTACAGAATCACCCTCTAAAAAATGTCTGCCTGATTGAGAAGAATATCCGTTTTCCACTTGATATAAATAGCATCTTCCCAAGGACCACAAAATAATAAATTAAAAACATGAATTTGGTCAAAATAATAAACTAAAAACTGTCTTTGCAAATATTTATATTAGAATATCAGAATCTGTAAGCAAAGGTTGTATTACTCAGAATGTTCTTTAAAATGAAAAACAAGTATTCTGTGTTATTTATCTTAAGTCTTTCTAATTAAAATATGTTCAAATATAGCTTGGAGACAGTTTTATAAAGTTCCGGTCTTGTTTCTCATTTGATTTTCAGGAATATATACTCACGAAAGAACAAATCTATTTTGGTCATTTTTCTAGCAGCACTCTTCCTAATGCCCTATTTTTATCATTTTATCATTTTTATCATTTTAAATGCAGCTGCAATCTATGCTCCTTCCTCTACACTTACTGAAAAATTCACATATACATATAATTTTAAAGAGATTTACTTACTGAGACATGGGACTTTTGGTGACCATCCATCTTTTGTGCATGTTATGTAATACCAATCACGGTTTGAAGGAGTCACAAATCCTCTGTTACAGTGGTAGGGGAAATAGCTTCCTATAGATTCTGGAAAGTATGGTCGATACCTCTCTTCATCAAGTAGATATCCATACTTTATTTCTGGAAAACTACAAGGTTTCACTTGGAATAAAAAACATACAATACAGTATAAATGACATTTTACCTTAGCAAGCTACTGAAATAAATATACTTTTCCATTGGTAAAATATATTCTTTTCTTACCATAATTAAACTCTTTCCTTTCACTTGGGATTCTCATATAAGACAAGTTAAAGGAGTCAGATCACTGAAGTACTGGAGGAGTTCTTTATAATGAGGATGAAATACATTTTCTAGATCACAGGATGCAAAAATGTATACATAGACTCCCAATGAAGAAAGTCACACAGACACATTGTTATTTCCCGGAATATACATCTCGCTAGTCCTGGCTGATTAAATGACAATTGTGATTGAAGGAGTAAGGGACTAATTTGACCACTCAACTTCTCTGTCTTTGTTTTCTTTACATTCCCTACAAAATCAGAGTGCTACCTTTTCATTCCAAAATTACTCAGGTGGAAGGGTTATAGTTTTCATTTATTTAATGAGAACATTTAGACTAAAGAGATTTCTTAATATTCAAATAGTTAAGATTATGATAAAGATGATGTTTTATTTCTAACTTAAAATTGAGAGTGGAGTATTTCTTTAATGTCCTATAAAATGCAATCATATTTTATTGAGTTATTCTTATCATTAGAAATAATTTTGATTTATATGATTAAATGGTATGTTCCTAATTAAACCTTATATTTTTCAAAAAATTGTCATATTTATAGGATGTTCTAAGGATATTTTAGCAATTTTAGTGTAAGATTAAAATTAATTAATCCATGAAAACTTCTGTAATTTAAAAAATTTATATGCACATATCAATGTTTAACTAGTGATAAACATTTCATTTTGTACCTGGTTTCTTTTGCATTAGGTTAGAGGATTTTCTTGAGTAGTTTCTACGGATATGTTGCATGAATAAAACCTTGTAATACATCCATAGCCTAACTGTCTTTCTTTCTTTTTTAATGTTTTATTGTAAATTATGTGATAGTTTACATGGGAGAACATTATTTTTACATTCATTGCCATGGTTACAATCCACTCCATGCATCATCAACCAACCAAAGGGTATACCCTGCAATCCTGTCCCCCATACCCCCAGGTCTTCAGCACACAGTTGCTCTCCCTCTCTGGATCTAAAGTCTGCAGCTGCTCCATTAACTGTCTTTCTTTAACCAAAGTTTCTGAAAGACAACAGCTTTAGGTATATAATCTGGACTTACAGTCCATTTCTTTTAGAATGAACAGATTTCCCACACACACTTTTTGTAGTTTCCTAGATTGAAGAAGTCTCAATACGTTAAAAAAAAAAAAAAAAAAAAAAAACAAGTTTTTCTATTTTTCACAACTTTTTAAAACATTTGAATTTTTTCCCTATTACCCCTTGATTTCCCAATGTTTATCATGATATGTCGAGACATGTATCATTTTTGTCTTCAATCTTAAAATCTGTAAAAACTGAGTGCTAAAATTTCAGTGAAATTGTCCATTAAATTCTAGAGCTGAGATTTAAACTGGTGATCAGACCTCAAAACAAGTACACTTGTCCTCCTCATTATAGTGCTTCATAGAACATGAATAAATCAAATCACCCACTGAAGTTTCTTTCCAAAAGTATGCATAATTGAAAGCAATATCATGATTACACAGACTTGAGACCCTACATGATTCTCTCTTACTTTGCCACATGTGGGTCTGTTTCTATCTCTTTTATAATGTATGTCCCTGAATGTAATATTCCACATATGATCAGTACAGCGTTGAGATCAATAGGACTAAGAGCAGATTCCTTCCACCTCTTTCCCATCTACCAAAAGACTGGTTTCATTAGCAGCTAGGTCCACTACAGTGTTGATTACAAAGCAGTGTTGACTCAAAATGATCCTAAAATTGATTAAAATACTAATTTTACAGGTGTTCTAATAATTCTGGAGAAATGCAGTTATTCATTTTACCTAAACCCAAGAGTTCATATTTATGACTGTTAAATTTCATATTGCTAGATTCAAGTTTGCCTATAGCATTCTTTTTGGATGTAGAATTTGTCCAAATTCATATTAATTATCATCATCCCAAGTGTCGTTCCAATTGTGAAATTGTATTACATTTCTCCTAAACTGCTAGACTATTTAATGCCACAAATGAGTAATGGAGGAAGGATAAGAATAGAGTCCTGCATATGATCTGCAAATGATATTATTTAAAGGAAACAAAGTAGGTGATGAACTAGCCAGTGTCTCCATCTTGTCCACAAGAATTCCAGAAGGATTCTTATTAAAGTCCAGATAGAATCTGGCCTCAGTTGATTGATACACAGTTGAGCTGCTCTATCATTTTCATAAATTAACCATAAAAATTGTTCAGTATTTTCTTTATAATTCTTACTTATATTGAAACCTGTCTCAGAGTAATAATGTTGTTCTCTTTTAAGGACTTATACTTTTGATAATTTGGTTTGGAATTATGTATGTATTAGCATTGAGGTAATGATTCTATCATTTGTATAATTACTGTTTGTTTGTTTTAATGAAATATGCAATGTAATTGTAGAACATCTTTACAGTGTACTTAGAAAAGTTCCAAATAAATACAAGTTATTGTTGTTGTTGTTGTTGTTAAGTGCCGTAGAGTAGTTTTCAACCCATAGCGACCCTGTACAGGGTTTCCGAGGCTGTAAATCTTTATGGGAGCAGAACGCCTCATCTTTCTCCCGTGGAGCACCTGGTAGTTTCGAACTACTGGCCTTAAGATTCGCAGTCCGATTCGTAACCACTACGCTACCAGAGCTCCTTAAATACAAGTTATAGTTGAGGAATAATAAACTTGAAAAACGGGAAAGGAAGTGCCACAAAAAATAAAACATAAAGTTGAGGGGCAGTCTACTATGTGTGATGATTTTTGTTTTTTTAATTGCACAACTTTTTCAACACTCCTTTATCCAAATGGTGGAAGTTAATTTCCCTGATCTGTCAGTTTATCATTCTATAGTGGCTTGTGTGTACTGTCATGCTGAAAGCCATGCCTCTGATATATTAAATATCAATAGGGTCAAGCATGGTGGACATTTATCAAAAGATCTTCAAGACTAAGACAAAGTAGGAAAAATGAGAAACAACATTTATGAAAGAATGTTGTTGTTAAATGCGATCAAATCAGTTTTGACTCACAGCGACCCTGTAGAGTGTTTCCCAGGAGCAGCTGGTCGGTTTGAACTGTCGACCATGTGAAAGATTAGCCACTGGAAACTGCATGAATGTTGTTGTGTTGTTGTTAGATGCCATCAAGTTGGTACCGACTCATAGCGACCTTATGCATAGCAGAAAGAAACACTGCCCAATCCTGGGCCAACCTCACTACTGTTGCCACAATTGAGTCCATCGATGCTGCCACTTGGCCAAACCATCTCATTGGGGACATTTGAAATAGACTCAAATATCAGAAAACCTGTCTCTAGTTTCGGTTCAATGGTTGAGGGATGAATAGTTTTAAAGAATATTAAGCTGTCATTTGTTCATTCAATTACTGGATGCCTGTGTGGCACTGTAGGTTAACACCCTGGACTGCAAAATCAATTTGAACTATCAGGTGGGGAGTTCAAGCTCACCAGCTTCTCCTTGGAAATCCTTTACAGGATCACTATGGTTCAGAACTAACTTGATGGCACTTAACAATAGCAATACACTGGTCATCTCTAACAAAATAAAGGTAACTAAAAATTATTGATACAAAATCGTGGAAACCTTTATGAAAAAAAAAAAATCAAAATGTGAAGCTATTGATTCTTGACATCTCCTCTATCTAGGACAGGAGTGGGAAACATCTGGCCTGCAGGCCATATCAAAATCATTTGCTCTGGTCCAGCCAAGGCAACCGCAGTTCCAGCCATCACATTGCTTGTGTTATTACGTGTTGTCGAGTCGATTCCAACCCACAGCGACCCTGTATAGGGTTTCTGAGGAACGACTGGTGAGTCTGAATCACTGACCTTGCAATTCAAGTATCTTTGCAATCTGGTGCGTTAACCCACGGCACCACACCAGGACTCCACATTAGGGGTGAGTTAATTAAAACATTTGTTGTTGTTGTTAAGTGCCGTCGAGTCGGTTCCGACCCATAGCGACCCTATACAGGGTTTCCGAGGGTGTAAATCTTTACGGGAGTAGAAAGCCTCATCTTTTTCCCGCGGAGCGGCTGGTAGTTTCGAACCGCTAACCTTAAGGTTCGCAGCCCGATTCGTAACCACTATGCTACCAGAGCTCCTTTAATTAAAACATAGCAAGCTAATATTTAAGTTAATAATTTAGCATGTCCCATAAATAATGTTACAAATTTTGGGGGGGAAAATGTTTTCCACTCCTGATCTAGGACTATACACTTTTGAATGCAGTG